CACGCGCGCTCGCGGGAGGCTCGCGGCGCCGCCACGTTCCGGGCGCCGAGCGCGGGCGGATGCTCTGAGCGCCGGGCCGGCCCGCACCCCACCCCGCGGCCGGCCGCACCATGTGAAGGGCGGCCCGGGCGCCCCGAGCGCGTGGAAGATGGGGGATGCTGCAGACCCCAGGGACGCGAGGAGGACGTTCATTGTGCCGGCCATCAAGCCCTTCGACCACTACGACTTCTCCCAGGGCCAAGGTCGCCTGCAACCTGGCCTGGCTGGTGGCCAAGGCCTTCGGGACAGGTACGAGGTGCCCCGCAGGACGCGCGCATCCCGGTCTCGTGGGCGATGCTCGGGTGTCCACGCGCGTCGCCTCGCTCGGCGCAGGGACGTGGTGGGAGGCAGGGCGCAGAAGCGGGGAGGGGGCAGCGCAGGGCTGGTGTGACACCCGGAGCCCTCGGTTGGGGCAGGTGGGATGTGGCCGCGATTCTCTCCTTGGATAGCGAAAGTGGGTGCTGCTTGTTTTCCCGGTGAGTAATTTTGTCATATTTTCACATCGGGTGTCTTAATTTGCGGCATTTTCCTCTCTGTGCTGCGTACATTTCCTCCCTCTCGTAATTGTGACTACACCACCGAGAAATCGGAGTCGGTTTCGCCGTGTCGGGAGAAGGCACACGGCGCTACACTGATTCTGACATTTGTGGCCATGGCTGCGATTCAGGCCCGTAGACTGTACGGCGGCCTCGGCCGAATGCAGTGTTCATTTTTGTTGTCATTCTTTCAGCCTGTGTCCTCCCGGACACATTTCAGGCTCTATTAAACCAGTTATTTAAAACCGATATTTAGCTTGCTGACTGTCAGGTGCTGCTTTCATTTCGTGTTTTCAGACGTATTCCCTTTTCCAAACGTTTTGGCTTCGTGAATTAAGAGACACGAAAACTCCCTACTGTGGGATTTCTCTTCTTTTCTTTCTAAGGGAAGAGTTTTTTGAGGGCATGTGTTGTTGACACAAACTGTCTAGTGCAGCAGCAAACGCTCCCTCCATTACCCAGTCTTTGGAAAATAACAGGAAAAGGGCCTCCCGTTGTAATTTCTGAGCGGTTGCTTGAGGAGCCCTTGTCGGGGAGCCCTGGGAACGTGCGAGAGCTTTCCATGTGAATGTGCTCTGTGAAGGTAACTGCATCTCATAACTTGGGTCATTTTGTAAGATTTCTGTGCCCTACGTAATGAATTTTGGATATGCAAGATATTTATTGAAGAGTTCCTTAGTATTTACAGACTTTTCTCCAGATACTAATACAGGTTTTTTTGTGGGGGGGGGTGTAGGCCTGTAAAAATATGTGGGTAAATGGCTTAATCCATTCTTACTGTTTAAGCACAGACAGCAGAGTACATACACAGATGAGTATCAGGACTGCATGTTTAGTTAGTTAACAGTGCATCTCAGTGTTTAGAAGATTGTATGAGTTAGTTTTGAGGGAAACTTCATGTTACCATGATTCTGTGTTTATGACAGCTTTGGTTTTCTTTGAATTCTCATGCTTTGATACTGAAGGAGAAGGATGTTAAAGGTTTCAACACTGGCATCAGGAGTAAATATAATTAAAATTTATCTTGAAATAATTTCAGTTTTACAGATTTTTTGGGGGAACTAAATGTAGAGTAACACATAGGAGGAAGCACCTAGTGTTAGTGTATTTTTATTTTCTGGCGTGACTGATGTCAGCAGTGAAAATAATATGTGTATTTTGGTTTTAACTGAAGCAGCATACTGAAGCTAATATCCATTTAGAGGAGGAATGAGAGCTATCTGGGTATTAGAAAAGATGGAAAGAGGGAAGTTTAGACAGTGATCTGTGTGGGAAAACAGTGTACAAAATGAAAGGCAGAGAGAATAGTAAAAATATTTTCTTTCCTTCTGAACCTGGAGAGGAAACTTACAGTACAGATGTCAGAACGTTGCCCTGGATTCACAATGATTACTAACCAGAAAATGGCCTGCTCGCTGGATCCCTGTCAGGCAAGTTTCCTAGACGGCGGACCACCTGAGGAACACGCGCAGAGCACACTTGGAGAGGAAAAGAAAGGACTAGCGTCTACCTGGAGCGCAGTGCCGGGCGCTGTGCGTTAAGTCGTGCCTTCTGGCTCCCAGCAGCTCTGTGATCTAGGCAGTGTGGTCCTCGTTTGAAGAAAACGAGGTCACCAGTGCAGAAGGAGGTTGGACAGCTTTCCCGCTACCACACTGTCAGTTAGGGCGGAGATGAGCTCTGATCTGATTGTCCCACTCCAGAGGGCATGGCACGCCTGGGGTGTGCCCGAAACTTCAGACACAGTGCTTCGCTTATTCCCACAGCAGCCCTCTAGAAAGATTCTGTGCTCATTTGCGGATGAGGGAACTCGCTCAGATTAATTTTACCAAGATTAAACATCTGGCAAGTGGTGGGTCCTGCAGCCCAGCTCAGGTCTCACTCAGAAGTCTCTGCCCTTCCCACCACTCTGCGGAGTGATCTTTGTATTTGCAGGTGTGAAAAATGTGCATCCAGTGTGTGTTGAGTCTTACTTGTTTTTTGTCTTTTAAGAATGGGCAGGTCTTAACACACTCTAGGATGGTTTAGCTGAATATTGCTGATACTTGGTTACATTTAGTTGGCAACAGTTGAGTGGATTAAAAATCGTACTCAAAATGGGGTGAAAAATTTAGAAGACCTGAAGAGAGTGACTCAGTAATAAGAAATGAATACATTTTTAAAAATGTTATGTTTGTACATTTCATTTATTCTTTCATCAGTAGTCTTTCAAAGTATAAATTTATATGAAGTGAGTAGAAAAAAGTAAGGTTTCATTTCTTTTGATGTAAATTTTCTCCATTTGCTGCAGACACTCTTATGTGGCAAATGCTAGTAGAAAGCATATTTCAAAGTTATTGCCAAGTGGTTTGCAGTTAATTGTTCAAAACATTAGCCCAAATTTAAAGTAATAATTTACTAAAAAAATCACTTCTTTAAAGATGACATATAGACTCTTCATTCTGTTCACACTGACTTAGTCTTTTCTCCACTAGAAACTTTCTAATTTTTCACATGAAAAGAAGTCAGTTATAGAACCGTATGTTGGAAAATTCATTAAAAATGGTAGCTAGAAGTCAGTGATGGGCATGGAATGAAGTTACTGAGCCATAAAAAATACGTACCAGTGTTGTGGCACCTAGAGAGCAGATGGGGTGCTTGCTTAATCTGAAGTCTGTGTCAGAGCTTTGAATCATCTTTTCTTACATTAAAAATATTCCAGAAGCCTGAATCTTAACAGTTTATTTTGCGGAAGACTGCAGATACGGTTTTGATCAAATGAAGGAAAAATTTGTAGGTGAATTTTAATCAGTAAATAATGAGATCCTCTCTGATTATTTTAAGCAAATTGCAGATGAGGAGAAAGTTGAACGGTGCTGCTTCTACTGTACTTGAACAGCTTAACCCATTTACGCAGTGACGTTACTGAGCTCGCGTTATGTGTTCTGCTCCCTGCACTCCTTTGGGGAAAGGGTGGGTGCAGGACTTCTCATGACACTCTTCCCTACTTAACCTGCTTCCTAGTGTCAGTTTATCATTTCAACTCTAACAACCGTCATTCTCCCTTTTGTACCATGTAGTTTGATAATATAAAATCATTTGCTGTCGTAACAGACCTTATTACATTTCTTTGTCTATCTCAACACATTTTGTTGTCAAAATCCTGCACAAGACCTGACTTGCGTTGTGAAGGTTGTGATGTCAGTGGAGACACTGGGGCTGAGAGAGACTAGGAGCGGAGGGCTGGTTGGGGCGGTGACTGCAGGGATCCCGGCGGAGGCGGGGTGGCTGTGACGCCGAGGCTGCCCACGTTCCCGCGGGGGGGGCTCACTGTGTCGGGCACTGCCCCCGTGTCGGCTCACTCGAATCTCCGTGACGGCCCTGAGAGGTGGGACCTGCGACGCCAGCGCTCCTGGTGCGGAAAGCGAGGCGTAGAGGCTGGGAGCGCGTCCGGAGCCACCCAGCACACGGGTTCTGACCCGGGACTCTGACTCCAGCCTGCGCTCGTAACCACCCTGCTGTGTGGGCGGACGTCCAATTAGTGGAAAAGAGGCAGGAGATAGCAAAATGTTGCCAAGATACTATCCCGAGTGTTTCTAAGTGAAGGCACTTGGAGTGCAGGGGAGCAGTTTAAGTCCGCCGGAGGCTGAGGTCGCCTGAGGTGTTGAGGAGAACGCGGTTATCGAGCGTTCGTCATTTGGTGACTGGGAGAATGAGCCACGGTGCCTGCGATTGGCAGAGAAGGCATGGTTGGAGTGGGAAGTCAGCTTTGCGTGGGGAACCTTGAACTCGACGTGCTGAGCCGAGAAAACCAGTGGAGTTGGAGGTGTGGAGTGTGGCTGACCTGCTCAGGCTACAAAACAGCGTAACAAGCTGGGAAGCTTCTGGGTATAAAGTGTAATTACAGTTGGAAGTACCTGAGCTCATAGAGGGAGAGAACAGTTGGAGACAGCATCTAGGGTAGTGAACACCTGGGGTAGTTCTGGAGGGTAGTTTGAGGAAAAGGCGGCAGAATTAGAGCGACCAGAGAGCCAGGAAGAGAATTAAGAATGTGCGGTGATACCGCGGCCCTGGGAGAGAGGGCTTCGGGGGGCGGTCTTGTTAGCAGCGTCGGGTGCCGCAGGTGTCTAAACCGTGCCTTCCCCCTAAGCGCGGCGCCCTGGTCCGGGCGTGGCAGGTGGTACCTGCGCCAGAGCTCGGGACGCACGGAGTGGTGTGACTGGCCGTGACCTGCGGGCGGGGGAGGTCGGAGCCGGGGCACGCGCAGCTGCGGTCTGGGAGGGAAGCCTGGGGTGGAGGTGGCGGTTAGAGCCACCGGAAGGGAGGCGGCCTGGTGGGTGGAGGACGTGGTTTGTGTGCAGACATGGAGCTTGAAACCCAGGTCTTGTGAGTGAAACAACAGAGACCCTTGGATTGGAGGAGGTTTTTGTGATGAAGCAGTGGGAGAGCCCAGCTTGACAGGTAAGCTGGGACAGTTCCAAGAACTAGGTTAAGGAATTTGGTATTTATTTAGTAGATAAATAAATTATCCTAAGCACGTTGGATTTTAAAAAACTACTGTGATTTATTGAATGATGCTTTGTGTGTTGAGTACAATTTTGAACATTTTAAGTACATTATGTTAATTCCGAGGACAACCTATTAAGTAGATATGATTTTATTTCCTCTTCTGTAGCTCTGAAGTGGGGTTTCCCAGCCGCAGGACTGTTGGCTGGTCAGTCTGTTTTCTGGGGGGCC